CTATCAAGCTAGCAGACTTTGGACTAGCCAGAGCTTTTGGAGTCCCTGTTCGTACTTACACCCATGAGGTGAGTCCCTTTATGCCTTTCTTCTCTGAGCTTCCCAAGAGGTGTTAACTAGGGTATTCACAAATTTACTAAAAATATCTGGCTAACAGTTTCTTACTAGGTAGAAATAATCTCTTGACATCTTCAAGAGTCTTAGGGCATGCATGGAATTCATACTGTGTTGCTAACTGGGCTCATGCCTGTAATACCAGTACTTTGGGAGGCTGAAGTGGGAGGATCACTTGAGCCCAGGAGTTCGAGACCATCATGGGCAACATAGCGAGACCCCATCTCTACAAATCTACAAAAAGAAAAAATTTCGAAATCAAATTATGACCATTTGTCTCAAGTTTTTCCAGGAAGATCTCAAATTGGGGGTTCAGAAAATATGGTCTCCAGAACTATGGACTGGAAATCAGTGAGAGGGGAAAGAGGGAGGGAAGGAAACTGCTTGTTAAGAGGCCATGAGTTAGCAGAGTAGTATTGGGGAACTGAGATGTGGGAATCTCCATACCCTATAAACCACTCCACCTCTCCCTATTCCTGTCCCTCAGGTGGTGACCCTGTGGTACCGAGCTCCTGAAATCCTCCTGGGCTGCAAATACTACTCCACAGCCGTGGACATCTGGAGCCTGGGCTGCATCTTTGCTGAGATGGTATGGAGGCTTGCCCAAGTTCACCCAGCCCCCTCCTCCCCACATTCAAGAACAACAGAACTGTTTCTTGGCCCAGACCTATGGCCCTTCTATCACAGGGGTCTGTCTCTAAAGTAGCACCAAGGGGAATGGTGGGAAAGGATGCAACTGTTGCCCCAATATCAACCACAATGTTAGGATATCCTCAAACAGCCTTAGTACCTAGTATACTTCTCTTATCCCTGAAATGACATAAAGCATTTCTGCAGCCATTTTAGCTGAGTCTGCATATATTTGGGAGAATGATTCCATTTAGTGCCTCTTTTATTTCAGGCCTTCATTTCAAGGCTTGTAGACCTTATTGTGTGGTGCCAGCAATGTAGTAAAGACAATTGTGGTCACTTTATCCACACCCTTCATTTAAATTGCAGATTTAGGCAGAGTGCAGTGGCTCACACCTGTAGTCCCAGCACTGTGGGAAGCTGAGGTATAGGTGGATCACCTGAGGTCAGGAGTTCGAGACCAGCCTGGCCAAAATGGTGAAACCCCATCTGTACTAAAAATACAAAAATTAGCCAGGTGTGGTGGCACACACCTGTAATCCCAGCTACTTGGGAGGCCAAGGCAGGAGAATCGCTTGAACCCAGGAGATGGAGGTTGCAGTGAGCCGAGATCGCACCACTTCACTCCAGCCTGGGCGACAGAACGAGATTCCATCTCAAAAAAAAAAAAAAAAGATTTAGATCATGTCCCCCTTCAACCTCTGGCTTTTCAGATTGAAGGATCCTTGAGGCCTGGCTTTATGTAGAAGCTCCTATCTCCTTTAATACAACAGTGCAGTGCAGTAGGCTGAGGCTTCAAATCAGCAATATGTTTTATTGTCTTTTATCTGGGTTGTAACCAACAGCTTAAAGACCATTAGCCTGTACATATGTAATGTGCATTTATCCCCCAGTACATTACCTTACAGTTGTCCGTATTCCTCTCTCAACTCATCCAAAAATATTTGTTAAGCACCTAGTGGGTAGCCAGCACCATGCTAGGTACTGTGGGGAACACAGAAGAAATGGAAGACAGAGCCTCTGCCCGCTGTGCTCCTATCTAGAAGTGGCTGCATCACAAGGTTGGGGGATGACTGCAGTGTCTACCCCATACCCCGTGAGTGGCTTGGGATCCCTTTGCTACATGTCAGTGGCATCGCAGACATTCAGCCCCTCCCAGACCCACCCAGCCTTGGGGATCTGCAAAGCCATGGTTGGGGGAAGGAAGGAGGGGGCGAGGAGACAGATGAAGGGACTTCATTGTCTCAGGTTCTGTGTGACTGACCCCATGAAAGGCCCTGGGGAGGGAGTCATGGGGCCCTGCTGACCTTCTACTGTCTGTGGGAACTCCTTTGTATAAAGGAGAGTTTTGACTGACGTCAACGTAGGTCTTGGTATTTTCTCTTTCCCCATTTTCAGGTGACTCGCCGGGCCCTATTCCCTGGAGATTCTGAGATTGACCAGCTCTTCCGGATCTTTCGGACTCTGGGGACCCCAGATGAGGTGGTGTGGCCAGGAGTTACTTCTATGCCTGATTACAAGCCAAGTTTCCCCAAGTGGGCCCGGCAAGATTTTAGTAAAGTTGTACCTCCCCTGGATGAAGATGGACGGAGCTTGTTATCGGTGAGAGTGGGCACCTGTTTTCCCTCATTCATTTCTCCCAGGGAAGGGCTTTTCCAGGATGAAGGAAGGATGAGACCCTGAAATCTGGGCCTCAGTATTTTGTTTCCCTAGTTTCTGCTCTCCCTGTTGGCACACTGATTCAGCTATGGGAGGATGGAAGTAAAAATTCCGCCTTGGGTAGAAGGAGTTCTGGTTTCCTAATTTCTGGGAACATCTGCTGCCCATTTAGTCCACTATCACATGATTGAAGTCAACATACATCTCTCCCTCTAGCAAATGCTGCACTACGATCCTAACAAGCGGATTTCGGCCAAGGCAGCCCTGGCTCACCCTTTCTTCCAGGATGTGACCAAGCCAGTACCCCATCTTCGACTCTGATAGCCTTCTCGAAGCCCCCAGCCCTAATCTCACCCTCTGCTCCAGTGTGGGCTTGACCTGGCTTGGCCTTGGGCTATTTGGACTCAGGTGGGCCCTCTGATCTTGCCTTAAACACTCACCTTCTAGTCTTGGCCAGCCAACTCTGGGAATACAGGGGTGAAAGGGAGGAACCAGTGAAAATGAAAGGAAGTTTCAGTATTAGATGCACTTAAGTTAGCCTCCACCACCCTTTCCCCCTTCTCTTAGTTACTGCTGAAGAGGGTTGCTATAAAAAAAAAAAAAAAAAAAAAAAAAAAAAGCCTTCCTACATGTTAGATTTGCCGTACCAATCTCTGAATGCCCCATAATTATTATTTCCAGTGTTTGAGATGACCAGGATCCCAAGCCTCCTGCTGCCGCAATGTTTGTAAAGGCCAAATGATAGCAGGGGGCTAAGTTGGAACTTTTGAGAACCAAGTCAAACAAAACCACTGGGAGGAGTCTATTTTAAAGAATTCGGTTGAAAAAATAGATCCAATCAGTTTATACCCTAGTTAGTGTTCTGCCTCACCTAATAGGCTGGGAGACTCAAGACTCAGCCCGGGTGGGGCTGCAGAAAAATGATTGGCCCCAGTCCCCTTGTTTGTCCCTTCTACAGGCATGAGGAATTTGGGAGGCCCTGGGACAGGGATTGTGCTTCATTCCAATCTATTGCTTCACCATGGCCTTATGAGGCAGGTGAGAGATGTTTGAATTTTTCTCTTCCTTTTAGTATTCTTAGTTCTTCAGTTGCCAGGGATCCCTGATCCCATTTTCCTCTGAAATCCACCTCCTACCCCATAGGAGTTGGAAATTAGGGTTTAGGCATCATTTTGAGAGTACTGACACTTTTTCAGGGCTGTGATTGAGTGAGGGCATGGGCAAAAATATTTCTTTAAAAGAAGGATGAACAATTATATTTCAGGTTATATCCCATAGTAAGGTTGGCTTTTTTTTTTTTTTTTTTTTTGGTTAGAGTGGGTGGATTTGTTGCCATGTGCACCTTCGGGTTTTGTAATGACAGTGCTTAAAAAAAAAAAAGCATTTTTTTTTGTTTATGATTTGTTTCTGTCACCCTTGTCCTTGAGTGCTCTTGCTATTAACGTTATTTGTAATTTAGTTTGTAGTTCATTAAAAAAATGTGCCTAGTTTTATAGTTCATCTCTTTCCTATTTACTGAAAGAATGGTGAGAAACAGAATATGAATATGTATATGTGATCACTGATTTCGGACCCCTTTTCCTAATCTCCCTGTGCATGGCTACCCACCCCACCCCATTTTGGCTAGTGCTGACAGTGAACAAAGTGGTTATTATCGTTCCTATTTATGGCTGGGGAAACTGAAGTCTATATACTTCCTACTTTCTCCACACACCAGCAAACTTCCTTTCCCCCAGCCAACATACCACACACACACAACACACCACATACACACCATATATGCACACACACCCCCATGCACATACATAGCGGCAGGAAAAGGGCTCCCGGGGAATTTGCCTCTCGACACTGCATTTCCCAGTAAGCCCGCCCTTTTTCCTTTCTGTTTCATATCACAAACAGCAAAGTTTTCCAAAGATTATTTTATTTACATTTACATACGATTCTGAAAAAGCGTCTCCAAGCTACCACTTCTTGTAGTTGCCATTGTCTCACTCCAACAAAAAACATCTCAGACCGCCCGCCGGCCACCCCAAATACTCCTGTCCCCTGAAGCCTCACTAAAGGGAGGAAGCGCTGATGTCAGGGTTACTTAAATTCCCAGGCTCCGGATCCCTAGAAGAGGTATTTCCCTTTACGCCCGCGAATTTGTCATAGAAGGCGGGGCACTAGAGCCAGCCCCGGCCAAGTCCAGGGGGAGGGGCGAAGGTCAATAGCGGCCTTCCTAAGGCTCCCGTCAACCCCTCCTTGCCTGCCAGTCAAGTCGCGTATTTTCGTAGTACTGGTTAAAGTTTCACTTTGACCCGCCTCCATCACTCACCTGATTAGATGTTTATGAGTCAAAAGGCGGGGTCATGGGGTGTCGAGATTTTATTGGTGGAGACATACGCCTGTCGGCACTGTACCGCCCCTGTCTTCAGGAGCTTGCTCTTTAATGGCTCCTTACCTCGTCCATCTTCGAGGTTTCTCCCTTGCTATTGGTTTGTGGCCCCGCCTGTCGAGTCCCTTGCTCGTACTTGTTGGTGACAGCGCCCAAAGAGACCCGCCTTTCTCCAGAGGATTGGTGGATGAGTGCACATATAGCCCACCCCCGATGGTAGGCGGGTAATCGAGCTATTGGCTGGAGCCCCCGCCCCAGGGCGAGGAGGAGAAGGAGGGGCAGGAGGGTTTGGTTGAGCTGCAGCTGTTTGTCTGTTCGACACAGGCTTAGGGCCGACGGGGGAGACGGAGCCCCAGGTACCGAGCTGATGGACCCCAAAGGGCAGGGGCGGAAGCGCCCAGGAGATGAGAGCAACCTGGCCTGAGAGCGGAGGCGGGTCTGGTCCTAAGCGAGGGGTTAGAGTGGCCCACCGGAGAGGGGAGCAGGGGGCCGGGCTCCGGCAGGCCTAATGGGGGCGCTGAGGAGGGGACTGGGCGGGCTGGGACCCCGAAGTTGGTGAGTCGGGAAGGCGGCTGGGCTGTGGCGGCGGCCAGGCCGAGGGCCCGGCGCTGGAGGCTCGGTGCTTGAGTGAGGGGAGGGACAGGCCTCATTAAGCAGCGCTGAAGAGGGAGGAGCTGGGGAAAGGGACCGGGCAGCGGGTGAGGTAAGCCCATTTGCTGGGAGGTGAGGAGGGGTCAGACCTGTCGCCCGAGCCCCGGGGGTGACTGGAGCTGGGTCCCTCCAGAGAGGTTCATTGGAAGGGCCTGAGAAGGGTTCTTAGTTGGAAAGAAGTGTTCTTTTCAGGGAAAGTGCCTATTGTAAAAAGAACTGAGGGTGCTATGGTGTTGAGCTGAGAGAGATTTGGGTTCAGTGAGGGAGAACTGGGGAAAATGAAGAAGGCTGTATTAATCTAGAAGACTAAGGTAGTTGAAGTAATGGAAGCAGGGCCTGAATCAGTTATGGGAGCTTCTGGGAATGCTGAAGGGTGGGCTGGAGGCTCTGGGTCTTGGGAGTACACACTCTTTTGTTCCCTTTAGTATTTAGATGTGGTAATTTGAAGCTTTTTAAAACTCCCAGGGTAGGGATGAAGATCAAAGTAATTTTTTTTTTTCCATGACTGTTGGCTGCTCCAAACTCAGCCCCTACACTTTCTCTTGGCTTCATAGCTGGTCTATATTGCGGTCTTTTTCTTAACTTACTGTTTCCTGTCCTATGAAAGAGCCAAGAGTTGGATTGGGGGCATGTTTTGTCCACTTCTTTCCCACTTAATAATGTGGTCTATAGTGAATACCATGTCTCCTAGAACTGAGAATCTATTTCATTATCTACATGGGAAAAGGGCTTAGAGATCCTCAGCCATCAGGAAATCTTCTGATTATAGTTGGTGAAACTTTTGTGGGACTTAGACTTGACTTGGGTATTTCCCAGGCAGGTAATGGAGTTAACAGGTCCGAAACTATGAGGTGATATCACTGAGGAAGAGATTTGGGGAAGAGTGAGAAATTCCATTTCAAAAGCTTGGCATCACCCCTTGTTCTTTGTCTACTTCAAAAGCCCAGATTTCTGTGCTGTTAAAAAGTTGGGTAAACTATGAAGTATCTGGGGAAGATGGTGAGTAGAGAAAAAGATACAGAGGTGCAGTAGCCCACGTCTGTAATCCCAGCACTTTGGGAGGCTGAGACAGGAGGATCACTTGAGCCCAGGAGTTCGAGAAAACAGTGAGCCACGATCTTGCCACTGCACTCCAGCCTAGGCGACAGAATGAGACCCTGTCTCCAAAAACGAAAAAAAAAAAGAAGAGTGGAGTACCCTCCTCCCTGCATACTTTTAATGGTCTGCTAGCCTTCTTAGTGCCTCATAGATTGGAGCCTATTGGATTTTCCCTTACTGTGCTTCCTCCTTTTCCCCTTCTCTACCAATATATTTTATCACTACATTTCTTTTTTTTTTTGAGACGGAGTCTTACTCTCTCGCCAGGCTTGAGTGCAGTGGTGCAATCTCGGCTCACTGCAACCTCCACCTCCCAGGTTCAAGAGATTCTCCTGCCTCAGCCTCCCAAGTAGCTGGGACTACAGGCGCGCACCACCATGCCCAGCTCATTTTTGTATTTTTAGTAGAGACGGGGTTTTACCATGTTGGCCAGGATGATCTCAATCTCTTGACCTCATGATCTGCCCGCCTCGGTCTCCCAGAGTGCTGGGATTACAGGCATGAGCCACTGCACCCGGCCATCACTACATTTCTTAATTACAAAAATAATATGTTCATATTTTAAAATATAGAAGCTGTACAGCAGTTTAAGAAGTATAAATCCTCCCACACATACCTTACTCATATTTCATTTAGGAAGGTCAAGGATCAGAGACAGCAAATCAGACTTATCTTGCTTTGCTTTGGGGGATGTGCCACAAAAGGCAGTTCTGTTTTCATGTTCTCACCAAACTCTAGTCTTATTCTTTCTACAGTTTTCTCTTCTGGGATGATACTCTGTTATTTATTGCGTTCCTTTCACAGTTCATTTTGTCTTCTACCAAGTCCAACAAGCAGAGGGCTGTACTGTGTGTTATTCACCTTCAGTACACACACACACACACACACACACACACACCCCAAGTTATGTGCTGGGTGTCCTAGGAAATGCTCAAAGAGATGGAACAAAACTTTATGGGGAGAAAGGATCATTTTGTTTGGGACAATTGTTGTCATCTCTGCTAAAGAAAGGAATTTCAGACCCTTATCTCAAATTCATGGTCTCTGGATGTTCATGGTCTCTGCATGTTCACATTACTTGACTATCTCTTTCTTATCCATGATGATGATGGTTCTCCTAAGAGCCCCCTGTATTTGTCTTTCTTTTCTTTTCTTCTATTTTTAGAGACAGAGTCTCGCTCTGTCGCTCAGGCTGGAGTACAGTGTGTGTCTTTCTGTGGGGATCCAAGAAGCTCCAAGCTTATCTGGATTTGAAATCGGTTTTCCTCTAAATCTCAAGAGTCAGAGTACAGCTGGGGCATTTCATATTACCATCTTTTTTTTTTTTTTTTTGAGACGAGTCTCGCTCTGTCACCCAGGCTGGAGTACAGTGGTACGATCTCGGCTCACTGCAAGCTCGGCCTCCCAGGTTCACACCATTCTCCTGCCTCAGCCTCCCAAGTAGCTGGGACTACAAGCGCCTGCCACCACGCCCGGCTGATTTTTTGTGTTTTTATTAGAGACAAGGGTTTCACCGTGTTAGCCAGGATGGTCTCGATCTCCTGACTTCGTGATCTGCCCGCCTCGTGCTCTCAAAGTGCTGGGATTACAGGCGTGAGCCACCACGCCCGGCCAACTACCACCTTATTAATTGAATTTGTCCTTACTGGCTTTAAAAGCCCTCTGTTGTACCCAGCCTTTGTATAGTGCCCATCGGAAACCTCAGTTGTTTCCCCCAAGGAACTTTTCTTACCTATCCTAGAGCAGTGTGTAGGGGTGTGTGTGTGTGTGTTTTTAGATTTTCACTCTTGTCACCCAGGCTGGAGTGCAATGGCATGATCTCGGCTCACTGCAACATCTGCTTCCTAGGTTCAAGCGATTTTCCTGCCTCGGCCTCTGGAGTAGCTGGGATTACAGGTGTGCGCCACCACGACCAGCTAATTTTTGTATTATTAGTAGAGACGGGATTTTGCCATGCCAGGCTAGACTCAAACTCCTGACCTCAGGTGATCCATGAGCCTCAGCCTCCCAAAGTGCTGGGATTACAGGAGTGAGCCACTGCGCCTGGCCGTGTGTGTATGTGTGTGTGTGTGTGTGTGTGTGTGTGTTTTAATCCTATCTAATTTTTCCAACAGTTTTTTGCGTCTTAAGAGGGAGTTTAGGAGTAGAATTATCAATAAGGAATTTCATACATAGACCTGGATTTGCAAAAATATATTTGGAGAAGAGAACTTTCCCATTGCCCTTCAAGTCATACCTTACATCTTTTTAAAATTTTTTCTTGGACAATCCATACTGCATAACATACCTCGTATCTTCTCTTACTTTAACTGAAAGCAAATATTGCTCATTGATATGAATTTTACTTCTGAGAAGCAGGCATAGGGTAGAAGAAGCAAGCATATAGATTGCTCCCTAATCCTAAAGCATTTCAGATTGGAAGGTAACCAAAGTGTGAGACAGTGAACTTACAATAAGGAAATGCAGCAGCCCTCTTTGAGGAAGGATACCATAAAACCCTACATGTTATACTCCCACTTCCCACAAGTCTTTTGGGAAAGATTTAGTCATTGACTGAACAGTCACTGAACTGAAGAAGGAGCTACCCAGGTGAACAAAGTGTGTGTACATTTCTGGGCAAGGTTGTAGCTTTTGTTTGGGGACAGTGGGTACATTTTCAGAGTGTCTCCTGGTTCTGTGGTGTTAATGGCTCCTTTTTTTAAACTTGTGTTTCTCAAGTCAGGAATTAATAGACAGTGGCCCAAAACTTTTGACCATTCAGCATCAACTGAAAATTTAGCGAACTTTGTTTTTAGCTACAGTTGCCTCAGTGTAGGGCCACATATTGGGTGTGATTAGGCCATCTGAGGCATAGTAACGGGTGACAGGAAAAGCAGTTAGCCCATGTGAGTTGCAATAGTACCTTGTGGGCAAGATCCCAAGGGGGCCCTCCATCCAAAGGAGATCACAGAGGGGTCAGGGAGAGAATTGATTCTCTGAGGCCTATTAAAAACATTCCCAAATGGGGCCATGTGCGGTGGCGCACGACTGTAATCCCAGCACTTTGAGAGGCTGAGGCGGGTGGATCACGAGGTCAGGAGATCAAGACCATCCTGGCTAACACAGTGAAACCCTGTCTCAACTAAACAAAATATAAAAAATTAACTGGGCATGGTGACGGGCGCCTGTAGTCCCAGCTACTCAGGAGGCTGAGGCAGGAGAATGGCGTGAACCTGGGAGGCAGAGCTTGTAGTGAGCCAAGATTGCACCACTGCACTCCAGCCTGGGCGACAAGAGTGAGACTCCGTCTCAGAGAAAAAAAAAAAAAAAAAAAATCCCAAATGGAATTGAATAAGATCTGTCCAGATGGTACAGAAAAGGAGGAGTTGATTGGGGGAGAGAAGTAGAATTACTTAGCCTTAATTTAGGGAGCATTTAATGAGTACCTACTAGGGATCAGGCAGCATGCTGTGCTCAGAAGAAACTCCCTCTTTTAAAGAAGTTCATAGTGTAGCAGAGCAGACAGATACAATTCATATACTGTGATAATGTGACACATACTATTATAGAAATACAGCAGTCTTTATTTATTTATTTTTTTTTTTGAGACAGAGTCTTGCTTTGTTGC